TAAAAGGTGAGAAGTTGCTTCTAGTACGTATCTCTGGTGAGAAATTTGCTTGTCGTTTGTTTGGTGGGAGGATTGGTATTTCAAATTGGCTAGGTGTAGTACTCTGTGTGGGTGTTGCTGGTTCTGTAGTCTCCATATCTATCTCATTCTGGATCTGAGTTTCGATTTCTGCTCATTACCATGCAGTAGTTTGGCGGCTAACGTAGCCTTTTTTTAGCTGCAGACACAAGCGTAATTAGGATACTGACCTCTGTAACCGGTTATCCGTAAACCGATGCCCTAAGTCCTAGAGGCGTCGACTTGCTCAATTGAATCGCATGAGATACACATTGGTACTAAACTGGCAGTTATTTCCTGCGTGCATTGTACCAGAGATGCACCAAAGAACCCATACAACTTTTAAGGTTCGAAGACATTTTCACGAACAACACACCTTCCTTAGCACCCTAGCCAATATGCAGGCCCCATATATCTATGCAACCGCATACATCTCTCTTCTCGGTCTTGTCGTTATTTGGCGACTTTTCCGATTCTTAACAGCTCGAGCACGTGACCATGTCTTTTCTGTTCTCTCTAAATGGCTTCTATACACAGTTATACTGGCAAGAGTTAATAGTAGCTCAGACATCACAATTATTGCGGGTATTGTAGTAATTTGTATGCTGGTCGGAAACATCGCTAGCGCACTCATTGCTGTAGCGTCTCAAGCCGACTTCTCTGCGCGCCTTGCTCGGCTATGCATAACGAATCTTGTTGTTCTTTTTTTTGGTGGAAGAACGAACTTCGTCGCTGATAGAATTCTGAAGTTATCACACAATCAGTATTACCTTATCCATCGTTGGGTGGGACGCATTTGCGTTCTAGAAGGCCTAATACATGGGGTCCTGAGCGTTTTGCAGCGTCGGAAGCCATTGCGTGCAATTGATATCACAGTAGGTCTGTTCGTATCGAATTTTGGCCCCTTCTATGCTCATTTTGCTAGTTAATCTCAATTACTGGGACGATTGCAGTGTGCTCCTTCGTTTACATTCGGCGCAGGGTGTATGAGTTGTTCCTCCAACTACATACAATAGCATCAGTAGCTCTCCTTGTCTTCCTCTGGCTACATCTGACTAGGCCCAGTCCGTACGTGGTTGCTTGCATCTCCAGTGCAGCGTCTTTTTTTGTGCTCCAGAAGATATTGTGGGTAATTCACTGTATCTACCGAAATGCTGGGTCAGGACCCCGTTGCCAGGCCTCGATCACTCGCTTTCAATCAAATGGAAACCAAAATGAAGAGGTCTTTCAAGTTCGCGTCGATGTAAGACGACCCTGGCATGTCATCCCAGGGCAATTTATATATCTCTCTTTGCCACACTCTCGTGGTCTTGGTTTGGGCTTGCTTGAGTTCCATCCATTTATAGTTGCATGGGCGTTCCACGATGAAAAGAATCAGTTGGGATCGGTAGTACTTATCATTCAACGTCGTCAGGGCTTTACGCGCAAGCTAGGGTTTACCAGTACTACTACACCTGCAATTATCGATGGTCCCTACGGAGGCGTGGATTGTAAGGAGCTAGCCCGCTACGATAAGGTACTCCTCATGTCCAGCGGTACAGGCATCGCGGCGCATCTGTACATGACTCGCTATTTACTCCTGGCTCATAATCAACAAACAGCACGTGTGAGAAGACTCACTCTTCTTTGGTTTCTTGAAACATCAGGTTACTATGAATCCACCCTTGAAACTTTCTGCGTTACTCATACTGAGCAGATCAAATGAAGTGGGCGAAAGAATATCTTGACACCCTTAACGGTATAGATTCTCGAAAAATTCTGACTATATACTTACTATACCCCAATGAAACCGAAGGAACAGCAGAAGGCGAGTTTTCTAGCTCCAGAATCCCCGAAGCGAGAATGTACCCCATATCTGGCTCTCTTGACATGGCCATGTTTATTGAGGGCGAATGGAGTGCTGAAGCAGGGAATATGCTTGTGACAGGTATGCTTTACGCGACGCAATCCTCGAACTTGTCTAACAATGAATAGTGTGCGGCACCCCCAAGTTCGAAATGCGCGCGAGGCAAGCCGTCAGAGCTAGTTCTCATCACATACACTTCAGGACGAGTGTCTACCTACCCGATGAGACATATATTAGTAAGATGTCAGTATCGCGGTACAGATGAGCGGAAAATTTCAACCTGCATCGATATCTGCAACTGTTTTGCATGAGGAGGCGGACTGTAGATATGATAAGAACAGTAAAATTATAGCTATGTCAATTTGTTCTCTAGTTTTAGATTTCCTGCGGACGATCTATGAATCCCAATATCCACGACAAAAGGGCACCGACGGGTAGATGTAATTTGCAAGCGATGTCCCCATACGAAAGAGTGCTCTGATGAACAGCCCAAAAGAACAATATTCTCTCAATGTCCTTCTTCGAGTAGATTTGATGCAGAGGCTGGCTCCTCAAAACGGCCTGGCTGTGATAGCATTCTTGATGCACTCTGCTCCAAAAAGTTTTGCCATGAGAACCAACTGTCGTGACGATCTGGATAGGATCTTTTTCAATGCCTGTTAAAGTGCCCTCTATGCCTTTCTTCACCTCCTCCGCTATAGACGTACGCAAAACCAGGTTGGTCCTGGAAAAGTTGACGATACTGTCTTTGAGGGCCTGAACCAATAGATACTCCCGGCGTTTGCGACATACCTGGCGCGCCGAGGGCAGCACTGTTGGGCCATGCTGTTGGGCCTCAGACTTCATCGTTTCCATGTAATCGGAAAATCTCGTAGGTGTAGGTAGGGTGCGGGTATGAGGAAACTGAAGGACTTGGGGATCCGATGTACTCTTTTTGCTCCTTCCTATCTTCAGGGAGTGGCTTCGCTGGCAAAGTGATCCTGTCGTAGTATCGGGATGATGAAGGGTGTTAGAAGTGGACGTGGAAGGAGCTGATGAAGTCCCAGAGTGAGTCAAGACTTCTGCTCTCTGAGGATCTCGTTTTATCCAAGCTGACGGCAGCGACTCCATTTTAGGCTGTTATGACGACAGAGGTGATTTTGAGAGCGTCGTACTATTACCCGTGTATTCTAGTGTGGAGTGCACACCGGACTAGGCGTTCGCCACCGATGCTTCGTCAACATTAGCTAACCTCAGCAAGCATGAACTTTTGTACCCACTAGGTGTCTTTTTTCTCGCGGAGTGGTTTGAGAGTCGTGAATTTATTGTGAATATAGTAAGATAGTCGATTCACGGGCTGGTATAAATGCTGTGTATTCGTCTTGAAGATAAATTTGGATGTAAGCGGCGTAGCCTCGTCAAAGCGCTAAAAATGTATAGTATAGCGAACCCGTGGAGCCCGCTTCATGGCGGTATTGGCTGAAGATAGCGCTGCATGATACTGCAGATTAGCCGCCGGAAACCATAGCTATGATTCGATCAAAGTGGCGTTTAGGATATGTTTAATTCTATACGCGCGTCTTAGCGGAGATATCCAACAGGCATGACTAAAATCATGCAGATAATACGCATGGGATTGCCAATTTTGTCGTAGTGGGAACATGCCTCACGAATGAGACGTTCAACCCTGTTGTCCCACCGTGCTAGCGTATGTCTCCATGTCAGAGTGTTATGCGTACAACCTGCCGCATGGCGGATATCTATAATCCCATACGGCCTAGTTACCACTTCACCTTACGGCGCCAGTATTCTTACGAGTCATTCTTCATGATCCCATACGGGATACTTAACCTGGCGGTACAATTGGCCCTAAGGCGCAATGAGTCGTATAAGGCGCATTCCAGGATCCCATACGGGATACTTAACCCGGCGGCACACAGGACCCTACGGTGTAAAGAACCTTACGGGACCAATATCCGCACAAAGGCGCATCTCCGCATTTCAGAATCCCGTGCGGAATCATTGACCCTACGGCGTTATTGAACTTACGGAGGTAACATCCGTACATTTCTCTACATTGATCCCATACGGGATAATCCATCTTATAGAATACAGAATTAGATCTTCTACAGCTAAATTTACATAGTTATCCAAACTATAACCTCCCCCCCTGCGTAACGAAAGACCCCTGCGTCGCGATAGGAACGACAGGTACTTTGACTTTGCTTCAGGGTCGCCCTTTCTCTACAAAATACTCGTAGTCAAGAATCTTACAGCACTAGCTGTAATTAATTCTCTAGCTATCTTTAATATATACCCTAAAATTACGTAGTATTTATCGCTGCAATGCTTGGTTTGCGATTGACATACAATCGCTGCGCAACACAACAGTTGCTACAACAACGCCAACTTAGCCTTCTACTTATTAAAAAATAGCGTAATACGTGCTAAGGCCATAGTAATACTATTAGTTTGAAATGGAAGCTTCTTTTAGTTGTATGTGTGCTACAAAGCTGGTCTCCTCTACAGAGGGAGGTACAAGCGACGTGCAATAGCGACAAAAGCGGATGCGGTGGTATCATTATGTAATCTTCGCCTACGTAGCCCTCGGATATTACTCGGCACAGATCCCTCCAGCACTTCGCATCTGTACTAAGTCCGTGCCCCTAGGCTGGCGGAAGGACATCGCTAGATCGTGTCCC